CAATCCGATGGATTTCAGCGTTTGGGGCATGTTGCAAGGGAAGATCGCGGGAAAAGTTTTTGAGACTGTCGATGACTTGAAGGCCGCTCTCGAGGTAGCATGGGCTTCGATCGACGACGGATACCTGCGGCGCACTGTCAATTCGGTGAAGAAACGTTTGAGAGCCTGTGTCAAAGCTCGTGGATCCAACTTCGAATTTCTCTTGTAAAATCAAATTTTCTGCTTATTTTTTGTTGTTTAATAAAGGTTGTTCTCGAAAAATCCTCAAATTGAAAAAATGGGAGCACTTTCAAAACGTCCTATACTTATCGGCCACCCTGTACATGTTTTACGGTATGAAACTTTTCATTCCTTTCATTATTTTCCTATTTTCAGGGAGCAGGGAGCAGCACGAGAGGTATCAAAAAAGTCCAGAAATTGGTCAAGAACCCACCGAGCCCACCGAGCCCACCGAGAAAGAGAAAAGCTGCAAGAGAAGCGGCCGAGAAACTGAAGCAGCAAAAAGTCGAGGAAATGGTGAGTATTGGCTTTATTGACCATTGTTCCTCTCCGTTCCTGTAAGAGTAAAAATGTTCAACTGACAGAATATTTATGATATTTTCATGGGCATTTTTTCAGTTTCCCCCTTTTAATATGTAATTAATAGGAAAACCGAAAAAATGGCACAAAAATGATAGACCATTGCTATCACAATTCTTACTCGCAGAATTTTGGATAAAGGGGTTATTTATAAACTAGAATTAGATTTTCATTATTTTTACTAAATCAATTGAATTTCAGGAGATGGACAAGAACGAATGTGGATGTGGAGTTTACTGTTTGTGCCCCGAGTCGCCCAATCTTCATTGGGTGAGTTCAGGGAGGCCATTCTAAAAAGTCGGGAATTGGGAAAAAATCTGTTGAAATTAAAACCAATTTTTTGAAATTAGAAGCAAGGTTTTTATTAGGAAAGAGGAGGCAGAAAATTAAAAGTTTCACATGGTTCAAGAACTGAAATGTGATAAATATTAACTTCTGAACTTTTAGTGGCTAGAAAACTTATAATCACTCAAAATAAACAAAAATGTTATAGATAAAGTGCGACGATTGTGGTCAGTGGTTCAACGGCTTCTGCCTCTATCTGCTGAACACTAAGAGTGTGCTCCCAGATGAGTTCAGTTGCTGTGGCGCCCAACCGACACAGGTGGATGGTCTGGGAGGAGTTGTGTTTCGCCGCTACCAAGATCTTCCCAATCCAAAACCCACCGCAGCAAACACTTATAGACCGTAAACCTCTTCCACACATTTTATATGTCTCATCAATTTTTTATTTCATTTTCGAATGTTGATCTAATTTAAAAATGTGCATCCTCCCGATTTTCGGGAATTTTACCCAACCCC